ATGGGTTAAAAGATCTTGATTGTAGATAGAGAATCAGAAAAATTTGATCCAAGAGAATTCCTACTTTCACTGAACGCTGGCTGAAGACGCAGTAATTTTTTAGTCGAAAGTAGCGGAGTTGGCAATTTATATAACGAAAGTAGTTGAGTTGGCAACTTATATAAGTACTCTAATTTTCAGAAAGCAGCTCGATTTTCGTACATTTCAAGAACAGCTTAAGCAAAATTATGTAAGAACTAACTTGTAGCCTTCTAGCGAATCAGCAATTTCTCGCAAATCGTCCAGGTTTTTAGGAAAGGCCAGTTTCTGCATACCTCCACTAGTAGGTGCATAACTCCAAATAACATAAAGGAACAACGTTGCTGCTGCGAAAACCGCTGCCAATCCCGACAATCTAAGCATAGATGCCGGTGATTCCTCGTCTTCTTGCTCCTAAAATAGGAAAGAACTGATATAACTAGAAGTTGTTCTGGTTTCAAATGCAGAGATTCAGATTATCTAGATAAAGGTTCAAAAAAACTTCAAAACAGCTTAGAAAATCTTTGGCAGCCAATAAAAGCAGTTCTTATAGGACTTTTTTGTATAAAGTTTTTCTTTATAGAACTCTTACACAAAAATAGTTCATGCTGTTAAAAATAATAAAGGAACTACTTGCATACACACTTCCTTGTTAGGTGTGCCACTTATTAAGCATGAACGCAAGCAATTGAATATGAAGGAAAAGGCTTGAAAGTCATAAAAAAAGAAAATCAATCGGTCGGCTGTGAAGGGCGATTGAAGCAAATCGAAGCTCGTAAATGCACAACAACTTTTTCTATAAACAAGTCTGCAATCGCAGTCGACATATGTCGCTGAGCTTCACGGCTTCACTTGATTGCTGGTGACAATTGTGGAGAAAAATCGTTTAGCGCTTAGCCTATGGTTCCAGGTGGAGCAGCAACTAACCTCTTCTTGTAATTCATCGAGCTCCGAGCCCGATTTGGACGGAACTTGTGGTTCGTTCACGATTTTGGGCGATTTCGAATAGAAGTCGACCAACCTTCGAGGAGGCAACAGCAGTAGAGAAGGCAACTTATCGGAATCAGCAAGTAGCATGCTGCGTTGGTCGGGGCCATATGAGAATGTTGTCGGCCGGATAACGGGATATCTTCCTTTCTGTGGGCAGAAGCCGCCCGTCCGCAGTTTCGCCGCCTTTATTGAACAGGGAAAGCAACTGTTTAATGCATGTGGGCAAAAGCAAATTACTGCTGACTGCAAAGATCTACCATTTAGTGC